TACTTTTATTTTTAAAAACTGATGAGGGAAGATAAGGAATTAGAACTGAAAGACAGACAATTCTAGTAAAAGTATAATAAAACTAGATGTATAATAAACCCTTGAAATCATTGGTAAGTGTACAAGTGGAACTGAAGCATTCACTGGACCAAGAAATGTTACTCTAATGGTTACTGCTCATGCATTACCACACTGTGTTACAATTTGCTTCATTATCTTGCTATTTGGTACATAGTGTATCTGTGTATCTCCAACTCTATTGTAATGAAAAAGTTTCATCTTGCTGCACAATCAAAGTGACGTTGATAGGAATGAACTCCAGAGGCTCAGGCCTTGTGCTCTCAACTTTTGCCCTATTAAAATGCTCTAAATTAAAAAAAAAAAGACATTTTTTTGAGTAACTATAGTAGATCTTCACAAATTTACAAAATATAGATTAATTGTCAAATGTGGTATTATATATATGGTATCTTTCATAGTGTGAGTTCTACAGGCAAAAGAATAAGTGGATTATTTTACAAGCCGTATTTTTTACTACTTTTCTTTACAGCATTTATCTTTAGATAGTAGAAAATGTATGTATTATATATATCTTTACAGCTGTTCCCATTGTATGGGTGAGCTTTTCTGTTGTAGGACAAAATGCCTCACATACACAACTTAAAGGAGGCTATAGTGCATTTGGCTTACGTTTCAAAGGGTTCAGTCCATGGCTGATTTCCAAGGCAGGAGCATCAAATCAGCTGGCTGCAGGGCAGGACCATCATGATGGAGCGGCATGGTGGAGTAAAGCTGTCCACTTCCTGCTGGCTGGGAAGCAGAGCACAGGGGAAGAGCACTGGGGAGAGACCCATCCCCCAAGGCACACCCCAGTGACCACCTCCTCCAGCTGGCCTCCCCTCCCAACAGCACTCTGTCTGTGTGGACATCCGTGGGTGACCCAGTCACCTGTGCAGAAGACTCGCCTCCAGTCAGGTTGACAAGTAAGATTGCCTGGCACACCTATTTACATGATTTTAGTGGCTGTGGTACAGTATCTTTTCAAACAGAGATTTCTGTCGTTTCTCCTAGAAGGAGTTATGCAGTTGTAGGGTTTTATGTCTCCAGAAGAAGTTCTCAGAAGCAAAGGCAGAAAGGCATGGTCACAGCCTTGACCTCCTGCTCACCCTGTGTCATCCCCTTGCTTGGAGCTGAGTTGGCCATTTTTCAGGTTTTGTCTGTTCACATTTTTCATCTTCAAGTTCTCAGTTGACTTCTTTGTTACAAGACTTGGCAAAATGTTTTCCAGTTCCATCAGCTTCATTTAAAAATATTGGTGTTAGTCCGGTTTTCTGGGATGGGAGGAATAAAGGGAGAGGAGATAGGGTACCTTCCTGGCGGAGGGAGGCAGAAGGGTGGGAGGAAGAGGAAGAGAGAGGAGAAGGGAAGAGAGGGAGGGCGGGCAGGGAAGGAACGGGAATGAAGGACTGGGAGAGAGACTTTGTAAGAACTGCTCTTTAAGATGCTTTTTAGATCTAAACTTCAGTGACATTCTCAACACAAAACAATTTCTGTTTCCATATTCACTAAAACCAAAGGCAAAAATCTGTCTTCAAAACTTCCAAGGCAGGGTCCTACTGTATTCCTTTCTTTTTTTTTTTTTCCTACTGTATTCCTTTCTGTGGATCATTTAGGAATTTGCAGTTAGATGTTCTGGTGCAAGAAAGTGAAATGGTGGATTCCTGTAGGATTTGTGTCTGTAATGATGAGCTTATTGTTACGTGATGCAGAAAGACAATTTGCATTTATTTTGAAACAGTCCAAGATCTTTAAAAAATATGGAACTTTATAGCATTTCTCTGAAGAATAGTGAATTGTCTTTCATTCCCTAAATCTGCGTTTCCTAAATCTGGGTATTCAGTACAGTTTGCCAGGTTAGCAGAACGAATGTTTCTTCTTTAAACCATACGTGCTGGGTGGCGAGATGAAGTGGATGTACTGGCAGAAAGAGCACATTCGTTTTGAGCAAGTCCCTATCTCAAATTCCGAAAACTAGAACAGGGTGAGACATAGCTCAGGGTAAGTACCCTGGTTTCAGCACCAGAAAAAAAAACCAACCCAGCTCTTATACCATTTAGAAATGGAATTAAAACCTCAGAATTACCTTTCTGTGTCTTAAAATAGGTGAACGTACCTGCTGTCTGTACTGGATTTTTTTATTTTAAAAAGTTTTTATGAAGCTAGAAAGAATAAATGCAAACAAGGTTTGCTCTGTTGCTTTCTGGAAATCTGCTTTCTACAGTATGTGTGTTTACTTTTTCCCGTGTCTCTGTGGATTTCATTTCATGCATCCGCATATACTTTGTAATTGGACACACAGCTGTTCAGTTCTTTTCTTTCTATACTTGGTTCCATGGGTTATATTTAGAAATAAAAGGGAATATCAGTTTTGAGACGAAACCTCTCCAGATTACATTGCGACACTAATATGGATGAAGAGTCTTTAGAGAACCTTATCAAATCTGGAAAATTTTTCTGTGGGTTGTTGTAAGATTCATTTTCAGGGTGTGCGTGCGTGCGTGTGTGTGTGTGTGTGTGTGTGTGTGTAGCTTTTTGAGGCTTCTACCACTGTTGTCCAAATTATGAAGACGGCATGTTTATTAGCAATGTGGATGCACTCAAATGAAAATAATTTAATTTTTAATCAGTAGCCCCATTTCTTAGAATAGGCAGGCTGTGGTAATCACTCTAACTCTGAGAAAGTAAAGCCAAGTAGGGAAAGCTGTAACTAAAGAAATCCCAAGAGTACTTTTTATGTTAGATACTATCTAAAGAAAATCAATATTACATTAAGTAGTGTTAAATCTTGTATGCTTCAGGAAAGCACTTTACTTGTCCATTTAATTAATAGTAAGTTCAATAAAACAGCAAATCTCTTGAGAGTTGTTTACCGCAGTGATATAAAAGATGAACATTCTCACTGGATGTTTTTAGCATTTCACTTATCCTGAAAGACACATTTAAGCAGTATTTTGTTAGGACTGTTAATGTCTTGATTTATCCATACCTTTATTTAAATTAAGATGACCTCCCGCACACTTCACCCGCTGTGCCTATCCTTGTTACTCCGGGAGTGCCTGGGCTGGGCCTTCCCACCTGAGCCCTGACTTTCCTGGCAAGGGCCTCAGGGTGCTGCTGACAGAAATGGCACCATTGGTTTCTGTCTCATACCATCAGGTGGACTGGATAGAAATGTGCTCCTAACACTATGATATGTAGTGCCTTGCCAGTGGGTTCAAAAGTGATAATTGACTTAGGAAATGGGTAAGTTGAAAAAAAGTGTCCAAAGACCTCTTTGAGCCTTTGCAGTACTGGAGATTGAACCTAGAGCCTTTCACACTGATTTATGTACTCACCTCCTTTTAAACGTTTTTATTTTGAGACAGAGTTTCACTAAGTTGTGCGTGCTGGATTTGGGCATGTACCAGCAGCTTTGAATCAGTGATTTTTTTCTCTCCCTTACTAAATATTCACACCTCAGCACTGGGCCTGGTTATATTAGAAAAATATTATTAATGCAGCCACAAGCTCAACTTTGACTCCATGATAAATAGAGATAAAATTTCAAGTCTTACAGTGATTTCTTTTTTCTAACTGGTATGTTTTCTGCTATTTTTATTTGTATTTTTCATAGAAGTACAAAGTACAAAGGATCTTGAAGATCCTTCAGAGCAGCCCTTAGACTTGGGAGAATCGTAAAAACCTCTGGTACTATTCAGCCAAGTAAAATTTAAGATTTAGGGGCTTGCAAGTTGTAGAAATTGTCTAATTCCTGGTGTCCACCATATTGAATTCCCTCTATGGGCCACTGGCAGCCTCTAGAGGTAATCAGAATAAATGGCTGTTTTTATTATGGACCAACCTGACTTGATTCCAATAGGAGTCGTTTTGGGGAAGAAAACGGAAAGCACTGTGGATAAAGTTGATTTAAAAAGATCACAGATTCGTACAGTGGAGGAGGTCAATGTATCTTGAGTCTGGATCACAGGGCCAGCTTTCAGGACCACGGTGCCCTGTGTGTGTGTGTCCTACACACACCTACATGCAGACATGTTATGAACCAAATGTCACTTTAAAAATCATGTTGAAGCTGGGCTTAGTGGCATGTATCCAGAATCCCAGCAGTTGGGAGGCTGAGGCAAGGGAAGGCAATTTTGAGTCAAGCCCATGCAACTTAGCAAAATCCTGTTGCAGAAAAGGAAAGTGCTAGGTTGAGTAACTGTCATGTTGGATAGGCCACATTAAAAGTATAGTGTGTGCCTTTTATTGTGGGAACCTTTATACAAACCACTTTTGTGTTTTAGTGAGTAATGTAGGACCCTGGGGAATTTGGCACATTCTAAGGTCATAGCCAGGCTACAAGAATGAAAAGCATTTACAGGCTAATTTATTAGATTCCCAGGACTTCAGTTTTAGAAGATAGTTATTTCACAGGTTTACCATGAATCCTGGATTCGATACTCTGAACATGGAGAAATTATTTCTAAAATATGTCTTTAATTTCTAAAGTACCGCTCCACACAGCAGCGTGCTTGCATTTTCATACACTTAGCATTCTGAGGTTGACTTTGAAAGAAGAACCACGTTGGCCCAGCACAGAGGGCTGCTGGGGGTCCCCAGCAGGCGGATGCGGCTCCGCGCCCTGGGGAACGTGTGTATCTGCTCCTTAGCCCGTGTGGCTTTGTGCTGCTTCAGGCGTTCTGTCTCGGTGCCGTTTGTTTATCCTTTCCTAAAATGCAGCGATGAGTGATGGCCACAGAGGCCTCTTAGTTACACCGCTGCAGTCCCGACCTGTCGGTGGGATGTCTTGGAGCTGTGTCAGGGGTAGCGAAGGACGCGCCGGGTAGAGGTTTACTGTGCGGTATGCCCAGGGGGCTCAGGCCTGGCCCTGACGGTGCCTTGGGTTGCTGAAGGCTGCCAACCATGTGTGGCCGTGTCCCTCACCCCTCTCCCCTCTGCAGAACCTGGATGCCCTGCACGACCACCTCGCCACCATCTACCCGGGCATGCGTGCGCCTTCCTTTAGGTGTACTGACGCGGAAAAGGGCAAAGGGCTCATTCTGCACTACTACTCGGAGAGAGAGGGGCTGCAGGACATCGTCATTGGAATCATCAAAACAGTGGCTCAGCAAATACATGGCACAGAAATAGACATGAAGGTAATGAGCGCCGACGGGGCTCTGAACATGGGTGGGATATGGAGAAGACACTGAATCTACCTACAGCGATTGCTGCTAATGCATGTCTCTAGAAAACGTGTGTGTCAATGTCTGTGTATATACATGTAGATACAGTCTGTACATCTGTACCTGGAACAGCGAGGACAGCAGCAGCCTTCTACATTTGGCCTTGGAATGCATTAGACAGGGTATTTGTTCCTTGTGGCAGCAGATTTTTCTTTTGAATTATACATTGCTTAAGGGCAAAAAGAACTTTGGTTTGCATTCCCTATGAGCACCCACCGGCCGGGAACAGAGGCTGAGCTGTGGTTTTCAATGTGCAAGACATCTGGTCACACGTGAGGATAACTAACACAGAAGTGGGTTTGGTTCACAGAGCAGTTTTCCCTCTGTGGAGTTTATTTTCTGTCTGTGTCTGTTCTGACACAGAGTTGAAATGTCTTCTCAATTAGAAGTTGGGCTTGCTCTCTCTCTCCCTCTCTTTTTTTAAATCAAGTTACTTTGGTGAAAGAAGCCAGGTCTGGTACTGTACTTTAAAAACTGCTACTATTGATAATACAGTTAGTTCTGAACGCTGATTTCGAGGTACTGACACAGCCAACAACAGGAGAATCGCTGTTGTTTTTTTACTGCTGACCCATGCAGTCTCCCTGCATCGGCTGCTTTTGTGTGTGCTCAGAATATTCTGCCCCAAGGGCCATTTTGCAGTGGCTGGAGGCTTGAACCAGAGTGGAGTCAGGAATAGTACCCTATTTTGGTTGTCTTTCTTCTGGGAAATCTGATAGGCAGTACTTTCTCAGCTCTCATAGTTGTCTTCTAACTCAAGTGGGAGCCCAGAATGCCTAAGTACACTGTTACACAAAATAAAACTTGCAGCATTGAGAGTAATTAGAAAAATACCTCAAATTTAATCTCATGGTGCCAGTTACATTTTATTGTTTCCTTTCTTTCGTGAGCTGCCGTGGCACTTGGAGGTTTGCGTGTGTGCATCTCTCTGCACCTAGAAGGGAGGACTGTTTACCTTTCGGTAACCAAACCAGAGATGTGTAAAGATTAAAATCATGGATAAAGTTTGAAATTCGTGCATGGATGGGAATAGCACTGGAATTCAATCAGAATAGCATGTGCCCTTTCTTTCCCATCTCTCGATCTTGACCCCAGACTAACACAACTTCTGTCCTGAGGGAACCACCCTGGGGGTGTGTACAGAGTCTGTCTGCAAGATGAGCAAGATGCTAGTGCACAGAAACTACATAGAGAAACACAAATTAGGGCCCTTGGAGACACTCAGAGACAGTTACCATGGTTATTACAGACAGGGATGGGATTCACACACTATACAAAGTTCAAGGTTTTTTTTTTTGTACCGGGGATCGAACTTGGGACCTTGCGCTTGTGAGGCAGGTGGCGGAACCACTGAGCTAAATCCCCGGCCAAAGTTCAAGTTTTTGCTTAGTTACATGGTTCTGTTTATACAATATTTAGTATCTTTGGGGTCTTTATTTAAATGATTAAATGATTCAATACAGACTTGGAAATATTTGGATTTCATAAATAAATTTTGCATATTCAAGTTTTTGAAAATTACTGTTTTAACTTCTTTAGATATTAGATCAAACTCATAAATTTAATGGGTCCAGAAATACCAGTCAATTGGAATGACATAAGAAATATTAAATCATGACTAAAAATGATATACCACTGAGAGCTTAAAGTATAGCACAAATGCAATTCTTTTTCCTAATTGGATAAAGAAATCAAATAATGAATCAATAAATTTAAGATACATACATTTTAGTTCTAGTTCAGTATAGCAGAACCTCAAAATTAGGCCTAAATTTTAAGATTGACTGTTTTCTTTTGCCCATGAGTTAGGGAAATCAACATTAATGGGGCAAAGTTTTCAAATGATGCACAACAATATCAATATTTACCCAGTATAGTAAAATTGGCATGATAGTGCGCCAGTTACAGTAGTGCTGTCTTAATTTTGACATGAAAGAATATATCTGGAAAAATATATACAGTGATATCCATGGTTTGTGATTGTCAGAAGATGCTACAGTGAACCCAAATGAAAAAGCACAGATGAGCAACACTTTGTCTTCCTTTACCCGTGACTTACATTGACCCCAACCAGTCTCCACTTGGATGTGCCTGGGTTGAGACAGAGTTCCCCCTTTGTAAGAGGTCTCATCGCTTGCAGTTCCTTAAGAAATTATTTTTTCTAGACTGTAATAATATGGCAGACTGTGAATAACACTTTAGGAATGTAATCATTTAAGTTATAGAGCTTTGCTTGCAATCATGATTACTTCTTTAGAATAACTTCCTAGCCTGAATGAAAATATACAGTATATAATTTTAAGGGGTTTTTATGAATAGTATCAATATATCCTTCAGAGAGATTAAAGATGCCCACCTCTTTTTCCAGGAGCCCATCCAGCCTGGTATTGTAATTTTTATACTTGTGTATCAGTCATTTTCCACTGCAGGGACCAATCCCCTGATACAGGTTAAAGGAGGGAGGATTTATTTCCCTCCAGGACCGAGGTTTTAGTCCACGGTGTCTGGCCCTGAGGCAGCAACATCGTCGAAATTGGAAGTAGAGAGAGCGAGGGAGGCAGCCAGATGGAGAACGGGCAGGACAGGACTGCCGCCCGCGTCGCCTCCCGGTGGCCCTGACGGCCCCTGAGAGTCCAGCTCCCCGATCCACCTCCTTCCAGAGCCCCGCCCCTGACCGCTGGAGACAGACGTAGGTTACGTTTTAGACCTAGGCTGCAGCAGCCTGCCAGGGGACGAAGAAAAGATTCTCATTGCGTGTTTGAAAATACACATCTCTTATCTTTTAAACTCCCTCTGCCTTTAAGTATCATTTTATCACACTAGACGGTGTTACCTTCTGGGGTTTGTAGGTTGTCCGGAGGCGGGTAGCCTACCAGAACAAGAGCATTAGGATTAGGTATTTCCTAATCCTCCCAAGGAAGGTACGGGGCAGCGGGGAGCTTACGTCAGGTTTGCATTTTACTGTGAAGAATTATTCATTGTCCAGTTGCACAGGTCATTGTCTTGAAATGTTTTTCTATTTTAGACATATATACATTTACATATATATTGAACTTTTAGTATTTAAATTTTGTTTTAATATTGAAAATTTTAGTCTAAATGCAGTTCTCATAATCAGTCTATTGAGACTGAACTAAAATGCAGTCATTTCCCCCTTTGACATCCAGGTTATTCAGCAAAGAAATGAAGAATGTGATCATACTCAATTTTTAATTGAAGAGAAAGAGTCTAAAGAAGAGGATTTTTATGAAGATCTTGACAGATTTGAAGAAAACGGTACCCAGGAATCTCGCATCAGCCCCTACACCTTCTGCAAAGCTTTTCCTTTCCACATAATATTTGACCGAGACCTGGTGGTCACTCAGTGCGGCAATGCCATCTACAGGGTGCTGCCCCAGGTGAGAGGACAGCCAGTCTGCCCGGACCTGGTGCTGCTGCCACACGCGGCACTCACTCAGCCCTCGCACGTGTGTCAGGCAGCCCGGAGCACTGGCCGCCCCGCGTGCTTTTAACCGAAGTGTATGTGAGCATGCTGCAGCTCCTCGGGATGTCTGTCTGTTCCTGCTATAGTCACTTACAGTGAAGTAGGACATTATGTGGAAGTGGTGTGTTTATTTTAATGAGAAAGTGGGGGACTTGCCAGCAGTCAGCTGTCACTTTCTCATTGTTGAGTAAAGGTCCATTGTATATTTACTTCTCAAAACAGCTTTCAAAATTACTGCCATTCTCAGGGAAAAGGAAGGAATTTGAAAACACTGACGAAAAAGCGATTGTCGTATTGTTTAGTAGAAAAAGTATCAGAGGACAGCAGTGGGGCGATATTCCTGAGACCCACTTGAAAATCCTTCCTTTCTGCTTTTGTACTCTCTCATCTCAGCTTTTGGAAGTGTCCGTGACATGTGTCCAGAGGTACTGTACTTCCTGTTTGTAATTAAAGAGACTTCATCACTCAGGACTAGCCCCATGGGGTGAGGCGGAAGACTGCCCATCAGGAAGCAGAAGGGGGTGTGTGCTGCCTCCACCTGTCCCTCGTCATGTGGCCCCAGGGCATCTCTGCCTGTGTCCCTTCTGCTCCCACCCCGGGAGGGATCCCACGAAGAACTCTGGCTCATGCTGCGTTCCTCATAAGCAGTCAGTGAAGGCTGCTTACTTTTCTTAGTATCAGCCCTGTTTCGGTAACTTTAAAAAGTGTTGTAGGTATTTTTAACATTTAATTTCATTTCAAGCCGTAGGCATTTAACACATCGTGGTACATTTCAGAAGGTAAATTTTTATCCTTTCTCCTTCTTAACATACTCACTTGCATCTACTAGTAGCCAAGTACTAGTTACCTGAAATCATAGCAGATCTCCTGTTTGATGTCCACTTAGTCAGTGAGGTGCATGTTTGAGTCCACAGTCCAGGTAAGTTTCCTAACAACAGTTAAGATTTTCCATTTGTTTTAACTCAGGAAGTGTCCTTTGCTCTCTCTCTGCACTTCAGCTCCAGCCCGGGAATTGCAGCCTTCTGTCTGTCTTTTCTCTGGTTCGTCCTCATATCGATATTAGTTTCCATGGGATCCTTTCACACATCAATACAGTGTTCGTCTTGAGAAGCAAGGTAATCAAACTCTTACTTCATTATATGTCTGTAATTAAGGTGTTACCACTCAGAAGTGGTCAGGAGGAAGAATTATCTACTGCTACATTGTATGAGATGGAGAAATTAAAAGGAGATGAAAACCAAACCTCAAAGACGTGCCTGTATAGCAGGCTGTTGACTTACAGTTTTGCTGAAGAACATGCAACTGCATGAGCTGATCAGAATGAACAAAAGTAACTTTTAGGTGTCTTGCTGGGACAGCCCCATGCCCCATAATAAAACCACCCTCTCTCCTCCATATGGATGCACTGCCTTATTTTAGGAACCAAAAGAACAAAGGTTTTGTGTTTTTTTTTTAATTCACCCAAAGGCAGTGATTAATTCTTAAATTGTGTATTATTCTTGATGCCATTTTTGTAGGAAAATACAAGTGATAAAATATCCACATAGCCAGTAATTTAGGTAGTGTCCAGATCTCAGTTTGTGTCCTCAGTGGGTTAATTAGAGTGAGATTCATTTCATCCTTCCCACACCTCTCCAAAGACTGTATTTATGCCCATGTTTGTATTTGAGACCCACTGTTCTCAGCTGCTGTGTGAATACAGCATTGGCTTGTTTTATCCTTTTGTGCCGTGTTTCCCCCAAAATAAGACCTAGCTGGAAAATAATCAGCCTTGAAAACTAGAGATCAAACGTGCCAGCCCCATCAGCCCATTCTCACCTCACCTCCCTTCACCATTCCCCTGCTCGGTGGCTACTCTGGAAGGCAGGTGAGGTCAGGATAGCTGACGGGGCCGGCAGTGCTGATCTCTGGTTTTCAGGATATTTTCCAGCTAGGTCTTACTACCAGGGAAAGCATGTCCATCCATGAATGTCAGGGTAAACCAGATTCACAAAAACTGCTTAAATGAGTGTCTGCACAGTAGCGGCTGCCCTTCCACGTTCCACGGCAGTGGGAGGCACCTACTCTGCCCCGTGGGCAGTGCATAGCGATTGGTGATGAACTGCCAGGCAGGGACAGACCGCGAGTTAGTGGTTGTGTCCTTGTGTCTTGTCTCTGCAAGGAAGGATTGTTGGATGTGGAGAAGCTAGAGTGCGAGGACGAACTGACAGGGACTGAGATCAGCTGCCTGCGTCTCAAGGGTCAAATGATCTACTTACCGGAAGCAGACAGCATCGTGTTCCTGTGCTCCCCGAGGTAATAATCTGGGTTAATTACGACGGGTGTGAGTACCCGTTTTTACTTAACAGAGGCTGTCGATCATATTCTCACTTCTGAGTTTTGATGAAAATGCATTAATTGTGCATATTGGTGTGTTCAGTGTGATACTGCAATGCACTGATAAAGTGCAGCCTCCCTTCATCCAGGGAGACTTTCTTCCATCATATATTCGTGTGCTAAGGAGAGACTGGATTCTCCTACCCCTGTTATGTAATTCTCTCTAACAAGCATGACCTTACTGAATACTTGCTGATAAACTCAGAAGTAGTAGCCTACTGTATATGGCACCTCAAAGTCTATTTCTGAAATACTTACGCCATCAGATCATGGGATAGTTAATCTGCAGCTAGTGCTCTACTTCTGTGTCTTCAGAAGGAGTATCCTGTAAATGAGCAATTCTGCAAAGCATCTAAAATGGTGGTGTAAATACGTGGGTATATTGGGCCCTACAGAGTTAGCTTTTTTGTGCTATGGTAGTAAAAAATTATAAAAGTGTTCTATTTCTAGCTCTAAGATTCTTTATATCAAAAATATTTAATTACCTTAATCAAGATACACTACTTGAAATATATTATTAAATTGAAATGTATTAAAATATGTTGTTTGTAATAAAGATATTAGGGGAGCAAGACTATGAGTTTGCGTTTTTCCACACTGAGAAAGCATTTTACCTAAAGGATGCACCAAAAATCAGAAGATAAAAAAGTGTGTCTAAACTTGCTTTAGAACAGAAAGAAAACATGATGCTTGTAAGTTGGTGACATTTTGTGCATTTCTAAATGTGCAGCCAAAGACTCCACATTGTCTAGTAATCACTTAAGAAAGCAAGTTTTGGTGAGCTCTCAGTTAAATGTTTAATGTCACCTCTACCGTGATCTCTTTTCATGTAAAGATGCTGTGTTCACATGCTGAGAACAAAGTCTAATGGTATAGAGGAATGCAGAACAACTGTAAAACTAGATAAGAATATATTAATCACCAATTAATTATTAAGTACATTAAATATGAAATACTGTTTAATTTTGTTAACGTGATTATATGTACTACATGAGATATAAAAATGATTTTTCCTGAGAAATATATAGAAGTGAAAATTAAAAGGGTGAAATTAACAAATAGAAAACTTCTAAATATTAACAACCTGCATTGATCTTTCAATATTTTGTCTCCTGTCAATGAGCATTTTCTTCTCCTGCCTCTCTCCAGGTTGAGAGTCAATAAAATGACAGTTTCCAGGTAGGGACAATTCCCACTCATGGAGGAAAATGGTTTTCCTGGAGACAAAAGCAGACAATTTGGAATGTGTTTGTTTATTGCCACATGCAGAAATCGGTCCTGGGTTAGGTATTCACAGATTGTCGTATGAGACGTGCTCATGTGTGTAGAAAGATTTGTGTCCACAATAAATAAAGATCAAATTAAAGCAGTTTTACTCATAAAATAATTTTTGGATGATTAATTTAAGAAAAAATTGTTACTAGTTCATTAAAATTATATTTTAGAACAATTAAAAGTTACAATTGAATTGTTTTCTAATTCAGTATGAATGTTTATAGCCATTTATTTCCATTTTAAGTTTATAATCTGCCCAATGGCAATGTTCTACATTCCTTGGCAAACAATCTGCTATCTTTCCAGATAGGTTTATTTCTGCAAGAGGGCTTAAATTCTCATTGTAACAAAATCAAAAGAGACCATCTGAGTTTTCAATAAATCCTTAGTGAAATCATAACCCAATTCTTCTATTTAGAGAAATTATTATCTGAGTAACTAGAAGTAGTCACTTTGTATTTAAATAATTCAGACAATGCCTTTAAGACATTTTAACCCAGGGGTAAAATATTTGAAAACGAATGAACTTTTTATTTACCAGATCTTCACTGAATGAATAAACACTATTATGCTGATCCAAAAACTACTTAAATTACAAAGAGGCATAGAATTCATACATAGAATTCAGGAAGGTCAAAGAATAATTCACAAAAATGGGAAAAATTAATCAAAGAAAATAAGAGCAGAAGAAGTAAGAGCTAGAAGTAAGAATAACACATACGTACGTGCCAGAAAGGCTTTTAAGCACATCAACTGCACGTTGAAGATGTACTGAATCATCTTGCAGACTCATAAACACTGTGACCATGGGAAAAGCAGCCAGTTAGAAGACTGATAGGATCCAGGCAAAAAGTGAGCTGGTTTCTCAAAAGAAATTACCGCTGAGGAGAAGCATGGGTATTCCTTCCTCTTTTTATAAAGAAAAATGTGATTATGTAATCATCAACAGCCTTGTATTAAGGATCTGAGAGGGTTTCACAGAGCAGTTTTCCACCCTAACTTTCTGTAAAGACAGACCCAAAAAACAACCTGGCAAGAGTGTATCTGAGGTTCACTGCTCTGTGATGGAGTTGTAGATACCTGAGCAAATAAAGTCATCTCGGGAGTTCAGCTCCCTGCTTGTTTTCACCTCGGCTGCCTGGTCCTGGGCCGGGGCTGTCGCGTGGCGGCGGCCTGAGCAGCCCCTGTCTCCTGTGTGACAGCGTCATGAACCTGGATGACCTGACCAGGAGAGGCCTGTACCTGAGCGACATCCCGCTGCACGACGCCACCCGCGACTTGGTTCTTCTGGGGGAGCAGTTCAGGGAGGAGTACAAACTCACGCAGGAGCTGGAGATCCTCACGGACAGGCTGCAGCTCACTCTGAGAGCCTTGGAAGATGAAAAGAAAAAGACAGACACGTGAGTGCCGCTGAGGAGGGCGCGGCTTGTATTCGTACCGTGTTGCTACCCTGCTGCAGTCCAGATGGGTCCCAGACTAGAAAGGCACGGAACTTGCTGTGTCTTGAGAAGGACAGACAAAATCTTCAGCTTTGTGTTCGTTCGTTTGTTTGTTCGTTGGTTATTGATTTAGTTAGGTTTTTGTGATTGAACCCAGGGCATCCGGCTCTGACACTAAACCACATCCTCAGCCCTGCTGTGGCTTTGGAAAGAAGTTATGCATAAGGAAATAAAATCAGTCTTCATCATAGGGGAAGCAGGCATTCTAGTTTTAAGCCAGGTTAAAAGAATAGATATCAGAATATCTCAGTGAAAAGCATCAGAGTAATTCAGACATATCAAGTCCAGTTCATTTGTTTGTCCATTCATCCATTCATGCATACAGTGGATATTCTCATCATCTCCGCTGAGACCGGCTGTGAAGGGTTACAGGGAGCAGTGTACTTATATTTTAAAAGACTTCCTTGCTTAAACCACAAATTATTTTATGATTCTAATTATAATGTCATCAATGACAGTAATACATTTGTGGTGACAAAAAGTAAAACTATACAAACCTAAACTGTTCTTCTGATAGGAAAGATAAATTATGAAATACGGACAAACAACATTAAAGAAAATACATCCCTTTCAAGTTATAATTTTAATGAATATCCATCATGCATACTACTTTGCCTTGCTTCTGTATATTAATTATGAATCTTTTTTGGTACTGGGGATCAAACTCAGGTCCTTCTGCTTGCAAGGCAGGTGACAGAATCACTGAACTAAATTAAATCCCTGGCCTTCTGTATATTAATTAAAAGCATTAAGTCCCTCATGGTTGTAAGAGCCTTTACCCAGGTTCTGTGTGTGGTCAGTATTTGTAAAAGAGGGGGCTAAATTGTTGGAGAATTGAACCAGTCTGCCTTGGTTCACATTATAACTTTCACTTTCCTTGAAAACCATCAGGACTGGTAAGTAACTCACTTTCTGTGCCTCTTTGGCACTGATACATGTGTAGATGTCCATGTGTGGAGACTCTGTACACAAGAACACACATCTTCTTAGCGGCATGGTTGGAGTAGAGGATGCCAGTGTAAATACAACTTCTTATTCATACGCCTTGGCCTTTGTGTAATGAAGCTGAATGCTGTGTTTGGTTCCTTTGAGGCCACTTTATTTTCCTCCTGGCCTTAAGCTGCACCCAGTTCAGTCTATCCATGTATTTTGCAAATTTCAGCAAGTGTTTAGGGTAGACAATACAAAATATCCCATTTCTTGAAAAAAAAGTCAGAGTGTGTGTTTCATTGGTATGTGGTGCAATTCCATCCATGTAAAAGTACGTGTTTTATGGAGCTTGCAAGACCACACTTAGAACTATGGTTCAAAGCATAATGAGTTTCTCAATATCCTCTCTGCCCATTACATTAGAAAACTCCCCAAGTTTCATTTTTTGTTCTGTGACTCTGCAGTATTTTCTAGTGTCTGTATTTTTGGTTTTGTTAGTCTGTTTTCCATTACGGTAACACATACCTAAGAGAATTGGGTTAAAAGGAGGAAGGTGAACTTTGGCTCACAGCTCCAGAGGGTTCAGTTCATGGTCCCTCGATTCTGTTGCCTTCACACTTGAGGCAGCATAGTGTATCATGGTGGGACCACACAGCAGAGGAGACTTCTGAGAAGCCAAAGAGAGGAGAAGAGTCTGGCTTCCAAATGCCCCCACGAGGGCATGCACCCCTCACTTGCATGACCCGACTGTTTCTATGAGGTCCCACCGCTTCCCAGCAGGACCACAGGATGGGAGCGTTCAGGAGACATTAAGGTCCGAATGGTAGCAGCAGCAAGCAGACACTAACTCATTGATACTCTGAAGAGCGCACAATTTAAAGTGTAACAAATACCCATGTATTTTATATTCTGTTGAAAAAGCACTCAATTCATGTTCCCCTCAATTGTCCACGTAAGCAGGGTATTGACTTCTCTCCCTAGATCAAGAGTCCCAAGCTAGGCACTGTTGGGACTGGACTTTGGCTCCTTTAGTATGGGCTGCTGATAAGTACTTAGCCCTGCACCTTTCCTTTACTTGGATTTCCCAAGTTGGGTTTGACTTTCTGAATCTGTTTATACTATTTAGAATTATCATGCTTCAAGAATCCTCATATTTTTGAGAATGTTAGAAGGCCTGCCTTGCCACTGCGATGTCACAGCAACTGAACTGAGTTGCTCCTCCCTGAGAGGCCCGCGAGTTGCTGCTGTTCTGTTCACTCAGCACTGCACTGTGAACTCTGTGAACTTTGTGACAGGAGAGTCAGAATAGAGGACTGCAGATGTCGAATTTGAGTGTCTGTTGCTGTCAGTCCTTTGTTTTCTGCTTGTGTGATTGGCTTATTTTGCTTTGGTTTGAATTGGCTTGTGTTTGCAATTTTATGATTAGAAAAATAAATGATTTCTGTGTTCTCTGTCTTTCGTTAATTTTATAAGGTGTCCTGTCAGAGTCCACAGTGAGTGGCCTCGATGCTCTGTGAAGGGCTGGCAGAAGCACTTTTGCATGTATTCCCAGCATTTCTCAGCACCTTCCTCCTACTCCCAACAGATTGCTGTATTCCGTCCTCCCTCCCTCTGTTGCCAATGAGCTGCGGCATAAGCGTCCAGTCCCTGCCAAAAGGTATGACAACGTGACGATCCTCTTCAGCGGCATCGTGGGCTTCAACGCTTTCTGCAGCAAGCATGCATCCGGAGAAGGGGCCATGAAGATCGTGAACCTTCTCAACGACCTGTACACCAGGTTTGACACCCTGACGGATTCCCGGAAGAACCCGTTTGTCTATAAGGCAAGTCCTCCTTAGAGTGCAGCCAGTGGTCTGCTGACTGCGGGCCTCGGCGTGGCCCCTGTCACCCACTGGAGCTGTGGCTGCCATCCTGGTACAGTGAGCTGACAAGTTGTCACTTTCTGCACAGTACCTCCCGTTACTGCTTTCCTTTCCTTGTAAGCGAAATGAATGTTTCCTGGAGCAGATGACTCCCTGGTTAAAATGAAACCCTCAGCAGCTCGTTTGCACTTAGGTTAGCACATCTGTGCAGGCTGTTGTCACATGCAGTATAAACAGCGCTCAGCTGAGTGCCTGGGAAGAGACATGCTTTCTGAAATTCATAAATGTTTTGCACTGTAGAGAAGTCATGGAGCTTGAGAAGGGTCCTGGGACTCAGGTTTGCTTTTAGATAATATCAGCATGAAGATAAACATTTATAAGGCATTTCTGTCTTTTGTTTCAAGTGAAAACAAATATAATAATGGAAAAATGAAGCCAGTGGAGTATTGCTTTATAAAGCCAAGAATGTTAACTAAACCACCTCCAGCCACCAGGGCAATACAGCTTCATGAGGACAATTTGTTTTATAGTCATTTTCTGAGACGCAATGTAGCATTTGGTGAGCATGTGAGAATCATGATTAATGGCCTTGATAAACCACTGAACTGCAGGCTGTGGCTCTTCTGCCTTCAAACCATCCCAATCTTGTAATAAAATTGGGTAGTTATTTATTCCACTGGTGGGAAACTAATTGCTTACTAGGGGAAAAGTAATTCTGTGTCTATAGGTGATTGTAATCAAAGACCCTTAGTGCCATGTGTGTAAATTTCAAATAACTACAGAGTCATCTTCTTAGGGTTTCAGGTATCAGGATTTTAAGAAAATTGAGAGGGCAGGGAGTTTAAGGTTGCTGATAACCCTGAGAACTTTCTATTAGAGTTGCAAAAGAGCCAGTCACGCTCACAGTGAGCAGCGAACACCTCCTTGTGCCTCCAGGTGGAGACTGTGGGTGACAAGTACATGACAGTGAGCGGCCTGCCAGAGCCCTGCGTCCACCACGCGCGCTCCATCTGCCACCTGGCCCTGGACATGATGGAGATCGCCGGCCAGGTGCAGGTGGACGGCGAGTCTGTACAGGTGAGCAGGTAGCGTGAGAGGCCGCTGTGGACGACTGGCTCTTATTTCCAATTGGACAACCGTTCAGACACACAAGGAAGGACAACCTGACAAAAAGAAAGACCGCACTGAACCTGTTGCATTACCTTTTATAGAGATGAGATACATTTCTTATTTTAATTTATGTAGTCTGTTCCATGTACTGAAAGTCATGAGGATGAGATGTTAAAAAATCCCTTCTGCTTTATGTTTATAATCCCTTTCCTTTGCCTCTGCAAGTCACCCAGTTCACATCCTTGAAATCCTCAGACTTCTGATCTTTCTTTTGAGACACAGCGTCTCTCTCAGGAGACACTTGGAATTGTCTGTAATATCTTCTGAGTTCTTACAGAGAAGTCTTACGCTTTTATGTCATGATTCCACCTTATTCTGTAATGCAGAGTAAGCCAAATTATGTGTGTGTGTTTGTGTGTGTGTGTGTGAGAGAGAGAGAGAGAGAGAGAGAGAGAGAGAGAGAGAGAGGGAGAGAGAGGGAGAGAGAGAGAGATATTAAGGTTACTGAAGCCAAGCTTTGGTTTCTGCAGATAACAATAGGAATCCACACAGGGGAGGTGGTGACAGGTGTCATTGGACAGCGGATGCCTCGCTACTGTCTCTTTGGAAACACTGTCAACCTGACAAGCAGAACGGAAACCACGGGAGAGAAGGGGAAGATAAATGTGTCTGAATATACGTACAGGTAAGAGGAGTGTCCTGTGTACTGCCTGGCAGGGTTCTGTGTCTTCGTGTGGCTCAGCTCTGCAATCTTGTTACTCAGGCTAAAAGGTTAGCCTCTACTCCTGAGCTCCAGTTAGGTGTTTTTCATTTGAGAAGATTGTATCATGGTTTCCACTTTAAATGGGCCACAGCACCCTGGGAATTTCTGATGTCACCATTGTAACTGACTGTGAGTGAAATTTAACGACAGCTTGAGCATTCTGGCTCTCAGTTTGTAGCTTGAGTACTTGTTACTCCAAATACCCTCTGTGCCCTGTCTTGCCCCCATGCCCGTCTTAGATGCCTGATGTCTCCGGAGAATGCAGATCCCCAGTTCCATCTGGAGCACAGAGGCCCAGTGTCCATGAAGGGCAAGAAAGAGCCCATGCAGGTGTGGTTCCTCTCCAGGAAAAACGCAGGAGCAGAGGTAGGAGTGGTGAGTGTCCCGTCCTGCCCTTTAGGACTGGTGTCAAATTGGGGGTTCGGTCATAACCGCAGAAAATTTGTTTCATTTGAAGAGAAGTCCTGCTTTCAGAAATTAACTAGGAGGAAGGCAGTGGATGGAACTGAGCATTACTGAGCTGCGTAGAACAATAAAGACATTCAGGGGATGCTGTGTGCTGCCCGATTTTGTCCTTAAGGTTATGAGGTTAAAACCAGATCCCTAGGCTGAGCGGCCCTGTGCTTTTGTCCCTCCTCCATAACGTCCCTCCAGCAGGACCAGGGTCAGTGGGCAGACAGCAAGTGGGCCGTGAGACCACCATTCGGCCCAGGTAAAGACTGTGTTTGTGGAAGATCTCTTTCTCGGCCATGAAGCTTTAGATCCTTCTAAGAGCCACAGTATCTCCTTGTGGGCATCTCAGATTTCTTAAAATCTAAGTCCCTGGTGGGTTTCTTTACAAGATTTGAATGATGTAATCTGCCAGGTTCTGAATAACTCCTTAGGGGAGTTTTAGGTCGTTAGCGTACATTGCTCCTGCTCCAGCCAGAACCCAGGCCTTGAGCACTCCAGTGTCCCAGCCTGGCCCTCCCAGTGGAGTTGTCCACACTCAGGTCAGGCCTGGCCTGGCCTGGTCTACAGAGCAGCACTGCCTTGGCAGCAAGGGTGACATTTTGCTCCCCCGTTGGTATTGGCTCTTTAGAGGGGGTGAGATCACTTACCACATTTTTCATATATATGTCTACACTCTCTAAAATGCTTTTGTGAAAGGATATGACAAGTCCTAACGGAAACACAGTGCCATGTTTGCAAACATTTATCTCCTTTTGACTGTTTTGGCTTTAAATCACTTAACCTATGAGGTTGCACGATGCAGATGCGGATATTCCCAGGAACCAAACTGCTTCATCTCAAGTGTTGGCTATCTTAGTTGGGTGGCCTGAGGATAATTTCACCCTGACTTGTGGCTGGAGTGGATGATAGACAGTTATAGGCAGGAATGCAGGCCCTATTCTTAGAAAGAAAAGTACACACGACAAGCTTTCTTACTCCAGATCAACATCCCACCCTTCTGTTCTTTAAGGAAACGAGCCAGGAGGATGACTGAACCTCAGGCCGCAGACCTGGGTGGCCTCCCGCTGTCTCCCGACATGACATGTGCCAAGGAGAGGAGCGCCCCCCCGCACTGTCCTCTCCGGGTCCCGCACTTCCCCAGGCGGATCTTGCACTGCCCACTACTCAGCATCAGCTCTGCCTTTGATGATTCCCATGGTTTTAGTGCACTGTCTGAAGCTTGGCTTTTAATGTGGGTGTTGTGAACTTCTAGTATCTTAAAATCTACTACAAGTATTACCCAAACTGGTGATCCGCTAGTAGTAGGCACCCAATAAACATTTGTTGAATTAATTTAAATATTTGTTGAACTAAATGAAACTGAACCATATTTGGCACTGAATACATATGGTTTAGCAAATCTGTTAATGCTCCCTATATATATATGCGTGTATGTATATTTTAATGACTATAATATAGAACAAAATGTATCATGTTGGTGTATATCATTATAGAAATCATTTTCTAAAGAACTGAATTCTAAGTTTTAGGGAAAAATGCAATTTATTTTCAAACTTCTGAAGAGTTAATATTCCATGCTAAGAAAATAGTGGCTATTTTGAAGTATGCTAATTTCTTTTTGGAAATATAGAACACATTTCTGTTATGAAAGCATGTGGTTGCGGATTCAGATCATATGGCAGTTGGAGTTCCTCTAACAGCCTACCATTCGTACCATATCGCTTGGAGTAATTACCTTAGCCGTGAGTAGCTGTTAACAGAAAGCTCCACTGTTTCACAGTGAATCGTTAGTTAGCTTGGCATATCTAAGAGGGCCCTGGCCATATTCAAGAAGAAAGCTGGAAACACGCTGCTCGGGCATTGCAGCTAGAGCCATTTTTCCTGGCTTTTATTCCTAGAAATCAGCTTCTTCTTAGCTTAGAAAAATGTGATTTTTTCCAGGGCATCACATTCACAAAGCTAGTTTAATTTCAGTGTTGAATGCATTCCTATTGGGATTATTGGCCTGTTGTTCTAAAAATGTCTCTGGTAATTTATTGATACCTGTCTTTATAAAATATAATGCATATACGTTTGTGTAAAGATGTTTGGCTTTAAATTTAGTACATTATATCAACCTATCATATGTATATCAATATATGTATAAATGTTCCATGTTAATGTGTAAAAGAATCTGCAATAAATTATTTTTTCCACTTGTCTGTAGACAATTTAATATTATATTGCAGTATGTAGTCATTTCATATGAATACTTTTGGGTTGTGGAATGAATCATCTGAGTTTCCATTATTTCTTATGGGGAAATTTACTTTGATACGCAGATGCTTTAACAGTGAGAACAACAACACAGACTTACTGAATGTTGCCTGGCAGCAGCTATTGTGGGCTTTTCTGGTGCGCTCCAGTTAGGACCTGAAATGTCTCCCGACACCCACGTGCCCATTCCCAGGTGGGCCCCATTGAAAGGTGGCTGAGCATTAAGAGGCGGGGCCTCCTGGGGGTGTTCACTGGGGGTGTGGGCTTGAGGAAGACGTGGAAGCCAGCACCTCTCTCTCTGCTTCCCGCTGTGACGGGAGTAGCTCTCCACCTTTCAGGTGCCTCCACTGCAAGCCCCAAGCAACAGAGTCTACCCTTGGGCCGAAGGAAGCTTTTCCGTATTAAGTTGTTAAATGCGCTTGGAGGGAGGGAATCCTGTTGTTGATGTCATGGGCTGACTTGGTGGGGAAGAGGAGCATGAAGGTGGGGTTCGCTTCGGGAGCTGCTCTACCTCGTGTACGGGGCTAGTGCTAAAGCAGTGGCCGGGCAGGAGGTCAATTGGAGAGCCGTTGAAAGTGCGTAAGAATTGATGAGCTAAAGGAGGTGGAGTAACAGAAGAAGCAATCAGAGGGCTTCTGGTTTGGACAGCGGGTTGATGAGAGTACCGTTCAAAAGGTGCTGGCTATGGAGGCGGGGGGCGGGGGGGACTGAGCTTACGGGAAGGCACATTACCAGACATGGGCCTGAAGTCCTTGTGAATACATTTAAAAGAGGAAGGGCTGTTGTCTCCGCGTAGCATGAGTCAACTGACATTTCCAAACAAATTTCCAGTTAAATTTTTTCATTGTAGTAAAGTCACCTAACTTCTGTAACGTGGTTCTCTTATTGTAGAGATGGTATAAAAACCAGTAATTAAGGCTGCTGGTAGATCTAATTAACACACGAAGAAATGCTTTGTTCTTTTGGGAATACTAGAAAAGAAGTCTAAAAAACGCATTTTGCAAATCATTGATAACATCTTTTCAAAGCTAAATCATGACCACATGCCGTGAAAAAACAGTAACATATTTAATTTTGCTGAATCTTGAAACATACTCAGTGAAAATCACCAAAAAGGGTTGGGAGTATATAGCTCAGTGGTAGAATGCTTGACTAGCATGCCTCAGCATGAAAAACAATCAAAGCAAAACAATAAAAACTACCAAAAAAATTTAAACCAAATGTTATGAAAAAGCAGTTTACCAGCTTGATATAAAGAGATATCGACATGTTTTTAAACTTTACAATTGAATATGTATACATTTATATATCAGAACTAATTTTTATTTCATTTTATTTAAATCTGTGATTGATTCAACAGATGGTATGTTCTCTTCATCATTGAAGAGAGAAATAAATTCCTCTTTTGCTGTCCTTACTAATGGCTCCGAGAACCTCCAGAGGGCAGCAGAGGACGCTGCTTACAGCTGAAGTTCAGAAAAGCTAAACTCAGGACAGATTTTCTCAGGAAAGTTCCCCATCTGCACCGCCACGGAATGTCACTTCCTGGATGGCCACTTCAATTCGTTCCTACTCTCCCACAGGTCCAAAAGAAGGGTGTGAAAACCATGATTCCTACCCACTGAGATCACTTGTGTAGCATCAAAGCTATTCACACGTATCTTATTCAGAAGTGGCGACCAAGTTTTTCCTGCTAACTCTGTAGGAAGCTGTAAAAATTTGCTAAATCAAGCAGTTTATAATAGAAGTAATAGTACAGTGTTATAATAACTAAGTTACATTTGGCTCGCGTTAAAAGGTGTGGAAGGTACATAAATAAGCACTGTTTATATACAAGGGTGTATTTTAAAAGCCCTTTAATTTGCATTAATAAAAACAAACATTTGTAACATTTGTCATATTAGAGAGGACTGTAGTGAAGATGAACAAACCAAAATGCAGGATCAAGAGCCTACATCCAATTATGCCAAGAACACCCTGTGATCTTCAGTTAATTTATTAGGACTCAATTTCCTAATTATTAAAAACAGCTAATATTTAAAATAATATCAAAATTCCATAATTTATTCTGTTAAAAATGCCAGAGCACTTGTGCCAGGATTTGGGTTGGGCTTTTTGGAGTAAAATCTAAAGTTTAGCAGTCTAGGAACAGTGGGTAGATTACGGAATGCTTCCAAAGCTAACTTCTAAGAAATGAATCTGAAGCAAACACCTGGTGTAGACTTTTGATTCCAAGTTAAATCAGAATGACTAGACACAGATTCTTGTGAGTGTGTGTTTCTGGTACAAATGCCTGCTGTAATGTTTACCTAACTACATTAGCTCAGTTCACATTCTTTAATGAAGGGTTGTGTGTTTGATTACCTAACACAGGGGGAGAAGATGTATCCACCCAGTTCCTGTCCTCCCAATTCACATTCCTCCAGTTCAGCTGATCTCAAATAGGGCTCAGCACTTAAATCTGCCATTTATCCTTTTGAATAGAAAGCTATTTCTTAAAAATTAAAAATAGGAAGTGTCAGTGTTACTTTTAGGCTGGGTTTTGTTATTATTAATAAAATTTATTGCCCATTTTCTAAAATGTTGGCCACAGTTGCCTACCAAGTAATTTTGGATCATTCAGAGTTATATGCAAGTTATACACAAGTAAAATATTAACACATCTTTTAAAAGAATCCATAAATACTTTCCATTTTTGTGTTTCTGCATCACATGAATACATTTCACAGGGACCCGTAAAGATACTTTAATCATACAGTTTTGGACAATAAGAGTAACTAAATCTGACGTTGTAATTACTGATAGTATTGAATCTATTAGCACGAATGACTGAACTGAAGAGATTTCCTTTATTTGTATTTAAAAATCATTGCATTCAGCGTATGCCCTGTATTCCTGGGCATTGGGACTCTGAAGCGGAGTGGGCAGCTTGCCCTGGGAGAGTCTGTGTTCTGGAATCTGAGGTCTGAGGGGAGGGCGGGACTCTCAGAAATGTGCAGCACGCTACTCAGGGAGAGGCAGAGGACTCAGGAGCATAGCGGGGCAGAGACACCCGCTTCTGAGTTGAGACCGTCGTGGTGGAAGCCTCAGGGTATGGTTTTCATGTGAGTGATGCTGTGGAACCGATGCTTTCATACCTCAGCTGTAAATATGGAGTAGGATATTAAATAAGAGGTGCACGCCGTTCCTTGGCATATTAGTATAACTATTTTTCTCCCTGAAACGTTATACTCTAGAGCCTAATTAGAAAACTGCAAGGGGGATCACCATCCTCTGAGCCTCACAGAAATAAGATGTAAGACCCACGTGAGTCAACAAGGATGTGTGACTTTTTAAGTTAAAAAGATTCCCAGCAGCCACACTTCAAAAAGTAGAAAGGAGCCAGTGAAATTAATTTTATACTATATTTTATTTAACCCAGTATCACCAAAATAGCATTTTAGGGATACAGTCCATTTCAAATGGCTAAGGGGATATTTTACCTTCTTCATTTTGTCCTAAGTCTTTGAAATTCAGTGTGCGCTTTACATTTGCAGCACACTGAAATGCAAACCAGGCACAATTCAAAAGCCCAGTGGCCACGGGGAGCCACTGGCTGTCATTTTGAGTACAAGCTTCTGCTTGGATCTTCCACAAGTGAGGAAGTCATCATGAATATTTTTTGTTTTGTTTCCACTTGAGAAGCAAATTGAATCAACTTTGCTTTTATAAAAAGGGAAGAAGAGTAGCTGGATAGTTGAAAGAGAAAGTGGTCACTGGGTAAGGAAAAACCTATGTACATGTTTATACTTTTTGCTTGCTAGTTCTGAATAGAGTAGAAGTTATTTTGAACTTTAATACTATGTACTACAACATAATATAAACTGTGATAAGAAGAGTAATAAGGAAAAAATGAATTCTATAGGGAAATTTTTTAGAAAAAGAAATTGGACCTTTTTATAAGTTGTTAACTTTAGCAACTTAATGTTTTGAGATGATAAAAGATTTCACATTTTCATTTGACAAGTCCTTCGCAGTGTTTTAATGAGGAGCAATTATATAGCATTAAATGACATCTATTATCTTTTGACAAAATTCAGGCCTTTTATAAAGATCAAGTTCATCATTCAGCTACCACCTACGTTATGTTTCTCCTTTTCATTGGCAACCCTGTTAGAGGTTGTTCTTTTCCTGCCACTCCCACCTACTCCCTTTGCACTTGTCAGGAATATACCGGTGTTAACTGAAGGAGGGTCACAGAAAGACGAATTCCAGATTTGCACACTTGTGTACATATGCACAGTTTTTGTTTGACTTGTGTTATACATTCCTGAACTATAGGAAATTTTTTTTTATTCATTAAGTTTATTGGTACATTTTAGGTATACAATATAATAGTCATCATTGAGATTTTGTACCCGTACGTGATATATCTTCCTTCTTATTTTTTCCCTATTCCACTGCCCTCCCTTAACTATGGGAAATCTTTAGTCTTCAGAGGAAGCGAATGCCCTTCCCTCCCAGCCATACTTCAGTACTTCAATTCTCTGTGAATTTATCAATGTTTGTTCCTGATTCATGAATATGTCTTGCATTTTTAGACACCTAAAACTTTTAAAAGAGCTTTTAAAAAAAAGTGTTAGCACTATAACAAAATGTATAAAACTCCTTTTCAAAATGTGTATTTCCTTAAATATATTTACTGCATGGTAACTAAGTGATAATCCAACCTAAAGCATGGGGTGTGAAGTGGTGGCCAGAGTCCCTGATTTCCCCCCAGAAAACACACACCAGCAGCATGGCCACCTGCCAGCCAGATGCCAGCCACTCTGCCCTGGGCCAGCCTTGCTTTGAGTCTGTTCCATGCGCTTGGCCTGTGGACCAGTCTTTCACATAGAAACTCTGTCTCTTCCGTTTCACTCTTGAGCGAACCATAGAACATGCATTTTGGGTGCCTTGAGCCC